CACGTTTAGCTTCCATAAAGTTTAGCATTCATGATTCTCAACGGCAGTTTGGTAAATGTTATCAATGTTAAATAAAGTTTTAAATGAAAGAAATGATGTGAATGCTGGCAGTCACACGATTTAAATGTTCACAAAATCAAAGTTTCAAAGTGGACCGAGCTTGAGTATAAGTATGAGAAGCAATGGTGTAGGGGTCTTCTCATTTAGAAAAGACGATCAATTTTATTTATTCACAGTCAAATTTTAAAGGGATTATTTATTCTAGTACTTTTTAACAAATACTGAAAAATACTGAACGTTTTTGAAATTCGTGAGTTTCAAAGGGAATTGAGTTCAAGCATTGTCTGGAAAGTTAATGGGTGGTTTTTTTTTTGGTTGGGAATAACTATGAAAATCTGAAAGAGATCTGAATTTTTCCCGTTATTTGTTCAAAATTCGATTCAAATACTTTTTTTAAGATGATTTTATTGTTTGAAACGCTTTTGCTTGAAAGTGCGTTTTTAGCCCCGATTGCATTGTGATGGGTTCATCTACAAATTTCCATACAAAAGACAATTTGTCTCATGAAAAGACTAGCCTAAGCAATACATGTATCGAACCATATCGATACGTATCAACTCTGGAAATATGCTGAAAAGCGAAGAGATCGCTGAGAAAACGAAAAGATTGAAGAAAGGTGAGAAAAACGGAAAAGTGCGAAAGATGAAAAGATCAGAGAAAAATGAGGATTTCCCTTGCGTAAGTGGGTTTCTCTTGCATTTTGTGTGCCTTGTGCAAGTTTTTTCGTGATCTATCTCTATATAAGAAAATGGGGAACTAGCCTATTTTCAGAGTGCTTCACTGGTTCAAATGAATATCTTTAACAGAATATCTTTTGAATAACTTCATGATTTTACTTGACTGAATATCTTGTTGTAGGGAATCGTAGGCTTAGCTTTACTTGACTAATATTGGTTATTAACGGTTGTTGAATCGGTTATTGATCTAAACAAACCAATGAGCAATAATTTCAGATTTCAAACAAGGCTGAAGAATGATCTCTTCATCGACTCAACCCTACGAAGACCCAATCATTCCAACAGTTCCAGATTGGGCCTTGTGAAGTGAGATTTCGGCTAACTCAGGTAACTCATTGAAATTGATAGCCTAATCTTGTCTTTTAACTTATTGTAGTGGACAGTAGACTCCAGTGTTGGTTAAAACGTGTTCCCTTTCTCTTTCCACCGTAATCTTGTCTCTATTTCTATCGAATCTATCTAGTTCTTGTATCTTTCGATATCCTTTGCGAACTCTCACAGACAAAAAGTAGATAAATTAGAGATAATATTAGGGTAGAAAGAGAAAGAGAAAGGCTAACTGTCCGAGTTCATTTCGATTTGTAATTGCTGAAAATGAAACACGATTTTTAGAATCTCTATCGCATCCTTGAAGATCGCATTCTATCACTTCACTTCACTTGAAAACTGCAAAACGATGATCTCACAAAACCTATAATTCCCGCTTTCAAATCAATCAATTCGAAACATTCCCGATCCACCAGTCACTCCCCTTTAGTGCATATCTTTATTCATTTATTCATTCTTATTTTGTTATGATCTCCACATTATATGTAAATAAAGAATTATCTGAATTCTCGAAGAAAAGAGAATTACAAAAATTAGTGAGAAAAAGAGCACCACTAAAGTCACAGAAACACTTTTGAAATCATGTAAAGGGCTTAGTGGTCGGGTTTTTGTATTGTTTGTGTCAATCATTGTAATTTTTTTAACTAGCTTTTGTGGTATTAACTGATTTGTACTGATTTTGTGTACTGATTGACTTGTGTTCAACGGTTTATTTTTGGCATTCATAGCAAAGGCATTCATAAACAAAAGCAAACAAAACCCTGATCTAGACAAAAAAAATCGGCTTTTAATTTCTAGATCTTTCCACGGAGAATTCGTTTCGGTTTCTCGTTTCGACAGGTAATGATTGCGGAGTGTAGCTAAAGTTAAAATAGATTTTTAGAGTTTAAAAAGGTTTTTCTAAGTGTTTCTAAGTTGTAAGTTGGTTTTTAGAGTTTCTAAGTTGTAAATGTGTCAAATGAAACCCACGGCCATGTTCTGTTTGACAGCATTTCTTGCAAATTTCTCAACTTGTGTACAAGAAACTTTGTCGTTAATGGAAACGCCGAGTTTGGCTGTCATTGCTCCGCTCAGGTTGACAGCCTGGAAGAGAAGCGTGAAATCTTTTATTCTTGTGTGAAATCTTTTATTCTTAAACGATTTATAGCTTTCACTCATAAACCAAAGGCAATCCCATTAACCAACCTCAATCCGATCCACCTTCACTTTGCCGCTTTTTGCTGCTGAAGTTAACTAAATAGAAAGGTTTGGCTCAGTGTCTTGGTTTAGTTTTGAGCTTGTTAACTAGAGGTAAACGTTTACTAGACTCGCTCAATGGCTACTGATCAGTACCAGTTCAAAACCAGGAATACTTCCACAGAGGCACAACGAGTACATCATATAGCAAAGAGCTTTATCGGTAAAGGCTTTTGGGCTCGTTATGGACTAGACTATACTTATTACTAGGGTCAGTTAAAAGTCAGGATCAGTCCTAGGTCAAATTTTTGTACATTGTGTAATATTTTAGTACTAAACCTAGCTTGGAGCAAGTCAGATCAGCCCCAGAGTTGAGCTGGCTTGACCAACTTCTGATTTGGGCCAGTGGCCAGCTTCCATTCCTGCACCTGTCTATAACGAGATCAATCCTTACTTTTCTTTATTGCTTAATAGCAAGTTTATAGAGATGATTTTAAAAGTTTGGCCCGATATCGTTATGGGGTTCTTAGCAAATCGTTCTTAGCAAATTCTTTGCCACTCACTCCTCCCTTCACCGCCTGAACGAAGCCGACTCCTTGCGTTTGATCGTAGGGCATCGTGGTGCGTAACAAGACAAAAACCTGAACAAAGAACCAATTCTTTCTTTATTATAAAGCACTAACTTTACTATCAGCGGGTGCTCGTTGCTTTGACTTTAACAGCGATCTTGCCTAAATTTTGAAAACTTTAGAAAAAAGCTTTAAGATTTACCTCAATCAAGCAAAGCAACGAGAGTAAGCAGACTAAATGTGTGAGGGACATTTTGTGATATTTTAATAGAAAGAGCTTTAATAGAATATCTGCAAGAGCCTAAAAAAAGAGCTTATATCTGCGAGTTATCAAGTTGTGCACACAAAGCCTCACCACAACAAAGGCGACCCTATTTGGCTAAGATTTCTTGCGTGAGATTCCCCATTGTGCTCGTCGTCTTTTCTTTATGTACAATCTAAAAATGATCGCTTTTACAGCGAGTCTTGGAAACTTTTAAGATGATTCGTCACTTTGACGGGGAAATCAGATGGGAACTAAAAAAAATGGCTCAAAAGAAGCTCTAAAAGGTCAACTTCTGTAAGTAATACAATGCAAATGTAAGTAAAGTGTGCTAAACTTTAAACATAGAATATATTATTGCTCTTAAATGGGATTTTGAGTTAGTATTTGAACGTTGATTGTTCAGATCAACAGCTTATGGTTATGATTTTAGTTTGTGCTGTAGAAATTTGATCTGAATTCGATTCGATCTGAATTCGATTCAAGTGGATCTGGATTGGATTCAAGTAGATCTGGATTTGATGGATTCGATTTGAATTCAATTTAATTTAATCTGAGTTCGAATCAATTCTATTCAATTCGATTCCATTCGATCTTTCAGCTGCAGATCAACAGCTTATGGTTATGATTTTAGTCTGTGCTCTACAAATTTGATCTGAATTCGATTCGATCTGAATTCGATTCAAGTGGATCTGGATTCAATTCACTTCGATCTGGATTCGATTCAATTCTATCTGGATTCGATTCAAGTAGATCTGGATTCGGTTCAAGTGGATCTGGATTGGATTCAATTCGATCTGGATTCGATTCAAGTGGATCTGGATTCGATTCAATTCGATCTGGATTCGATTCAATTCGATCTGGATTCGATTCAAGTAGATCTGGATTCGGTTCAAGTGGATCTGGATTGGATTCAAGTGGATCTGGATTTGATTCAATTCGATCTGGATTCGATCTGGATTGGATTCAAGTGGATCTGGATTGGATTCAGGTGGATCTGGATTGGATTCAAGTGGATCTGGATTGGATTCAAGTGGATCTGGATTGGATTCAGGTGGATCTGGATTGGATTCAAGTGGATCTGGATTGGATTCAAGTGGATCTGGATTGGATTCAAGTGGATCTGGATTGGATTCAAGTGGATCTGGATTGGATTCAAGTGGATCTGGATTCGTTTCAAGTGGATCTGGATTCGATTGAATTTGATCTGGATTCGATGGATTCAATCTGAATTCAATTCAATTTAATCAGAGTTCGAATCAATTCGATTCAATTCGATTCCATTCGATGTTTCCAATGTTTCATCGATCACCGACTTGAAAACACTTCCACCCACACATTAGCGTAATGTTTGTTTGCCACGCCAATTTCGATCAAAAATCGTTGCTCATAATGATTGCTTATAATGCCGAAAAACGATTCACAAATTCCCAGAAGAAAACGCTTAACGAAAATCATAAAAAATTTCCTTTTGCGTGACAACATTAGACGCACGCGTAATTGGCATTAATTAAGCATAAAACTTGGGAAACTTTCAGATTTCGATGCGTTTTTATCGGTGTGAACGTCGGGAAATTATGCAAATTTGAGTGGGCGCGAATAAAAAGGCGACGAGAATACTGGAAAACACGTTTGACTAATTGATGATGTTAAGAAGTTACACAGTTTTTGTAAGTTTTTTTTGTGTAAAATGGCCGCACTTTTTGGCTTTACTTTTTGGCTTTACTTTTTTAGTTCATTTTCATCACTGTTGTTTCTGGGGTGTCGTGGGGAGATCTTTTGAATGTGGGATCTAGTGGCAGTGGGGGATCGAGCGGCGATGGCGGATATGGTTATAATGCAGGGCCACCATGCAACGATTGTAGCTGTATGGCTTGTGGCCCGGGCCAAGAATGTTATATGGAGGTGAGCTTTTCTTATGTGTCGTGTGTCTTTTGTATCTTATGTAAGTCTTTTGTATCTTATGTAAAACGATGCAGTGGCTATTGCCTACTAATCTTATTGTATTTATTTATGGATAGTATTTATGAACAATCTTAGATTTTGTATGAGAAATTATTCAAATGTGCAATGAAATGTTTTTAGCCTGGCAGCACCTTTGCCAAACCATTATGTCGCTTGAAGTGTGGCCCGAACGAAGCGCTAAGTATGTGTGAAGATACCTGTGTAACAAAAGACAAGGTAATGTTAAAAATTTCAATGTTCGATATAGCTTTGGCTTTTGAACCACTTCTATTGACATGTTTAGCCTATACAACGACTATGTTCAAATGAAAACATTTGTGCGTGTAAAGAGGGCTACGTGCGTGACAAACAGACTCGTCAATGCATTCCGTCAGATCAGTGTAGTAAGTTGTTGCTATGTGATGAGTGCTAGAAAGTTGACTAATTAAGTAATTACAGGCTCAACAACGACACGCAAGCCAACAGGCTCAACTGGAACGACTACACGGTTGACTGGATCAACAGGAACCAGAACAACCGAAACAGGCACAAGTGGCACGCCCGGCACTCCCGGAAATCCAACAACCTCTAGAGCTCCTGGAACTACAACAACAGCTCGCACTCCTGGAAGACCAACAACATCTGGCACTCACGGAAATCCAACAACCCCTAGAACTCCAACAACAACACGCACTCCTGGGACTCGCAGAACGACAACAACAACACGCACTCCTGGAACTCCTGGAACTCCAACAACAGCACGCTCTCCTGAAACTCCCGGAACTACAACAAAAGCACGCACTTCTGGAACTCCTGGAACTACAACAACAGTACGCACTCCTGGAACACCAACAACATCTGTCACTCGCGTAAATCCAACAACCCCTAGAACTCCAACAACAACACGCACTCCTGGAACTCCTGGAACTCCAACAACAGCACGCTCTCCTGGAACTCTCGGAACTACAACAACGGCAAGCACCCCTGGAACTCCAACAATCTCTGGCACTCCAACAACAGCACGCACTTCTGGAACTCCTGGAACTACAACAAAAGCACGCACTCCTGGAACTCCAACAACCCCTGAAACTCCAATAACCCCTGGCACTCCAATAACAGCACGCGCTCCTGGAACTCCCGGTACTACAACAAAAGCACGCATTCCTGGAACTCCTGGAACTCCAGCAACGGCACGCAATGCTCGAACTTCCGGAACTCCAACAAGTAATTTCTTAAGGACATCTTCTAGAAAAAACTCCTTAATTAAAAAAAAACTGTAAATTAGCATATTATTCTAGCTGCCACGCCGACATGTTGCGAGAACGAGATGCTGAAAAGATGCAGTGGCTGTGAGGCGACGTGCGCTTTCCCGGCCGGGTGTCCGGTTAGTTCATCAAACTTCAATATTTTTTACCGTTTTGAATTAGAAATCGTATTAGAAGTTAGCCAGAGCTTCCAGGGACATTTCCAGGCGCCAGGCTCGGGCCATACTTGCCTATAAGGGCTTAATGGCCTATAATAGTTTGAGTTAACCCTGCAAAGTTTTGTGGGTCAGGTCAGGCTTATGAGGACCAGCCCTAGTATCAGGAGAAATTAGTCGAAAGACCTTTGCACTTTTATCGAAAGAACTCATGTACCCAATCTAGAAATGCGTTCCGAATTGTCAACAAGCGAAATGCGAATGCAAGCCGGGCTTCGTTCGGTGCCCGATCAGTGGGCGATGCATTTGCGCGTCACTGTGTCGTGAGTTTCAAATCAAAAAATAGAACTGAGATTACGCAACAAGTAGTGCAACGTTTGAATCACTGCATTATATTTCTAGCGAAGAACTCGTGCCCGCCGAATGAGGATTGGCACAGTTGTCCGACGTGTGAGGCCACTTGCACTAACTTGAATCCGGTAGGTTTTTAGATTCTACTGTACTCAAGGTACCTTAAAACTTATCATCAAATGAAATTCCAATAGTTACAATAAAATTCCAGATCTGCCCAATGGTGTGCAAGACGCCGGCTTGTCAATGTTGCAAGGGCTACGTTCGGTGCCCGATTTCCGGTCGCTGTGTCACCCCGGCATCATGTCGTGGGTTTAGTTTACTTTCAAAGTGAATCAAGAACAAATTTCAAATCAGTTTTTACTGGAAAACGGCAACAAGTCGACTTTCAGCCAAAATCAACCCGTTAACCCACCCGAAAGTGCGAGTGGCGGCTCAAATAATGCCAAGAATGGTTCAAGTCCAACAATCAGTCTCCCAGAAGCAACCTGCTGCTCTAAAGGTTTCGAAAATTGAAATAGAAATAGTAAATGAAACTTCAGAAACCTCTCCCGAAATTCGTCGTTCAACGACAAGCCCCAGTTGGTTGAAAATCAAAAAATTAATGCCAATAAATGTGTTTTAAAGGAAACAGCGAAAACTTGCAAAAAAGTCTTACAAATCGTTTGTTTCAACATAAACATCAAGGCTCGATGCACTAATTATTGACACTTCACGTCATACATCAGAGTTTGCTTTAGATTTTTTGATGAGTTTTAAAGTTTATCACTGAATCTGTATCATTTCCCAAAGTTCAATCACAGTTTATCGTCATGAAATTAAATTTGTCTTGAAAAAATTGTTAAACAAAACCTTTAAATCGTAACTTTTCTCAAATTTTCATCCTTTGTCTGTCCCTTATCGAGAATTGTTTCATTTTTGGCTTGCTCACTCAATTCCGACGATTCTTTCGATTTCGACTCCGATGACGACGATTTCGACTCTTCGGCGGATTTTTCTGAATAGTTTTTCGTTGTGAATTCTATTTATGGCTTTATAAAGTTAAAAATTGATAGATTTACTTAAAAATTGATAGATTTATAGATCTGTTGAAAGTTACAAAGTTGAAAACACAAAACAATCAACGTTGAATTTGATGATTTGATTGCTTCAATATTTCTTATCTCTGTTTTCTCAAAACATTCTCATTTAGTTATTCAGTTACCTACCGGCCTAACCATTATATAAATATAAATATCTTTTATATCGAATTCCTGTGCTTTTGCAATGTTCTAAAACGCAAAAAAAGCTTTAAAAATACACAAAGTTTTAAACCTTTAATTCTAATACAATAAAGTAGGTATACTTTTCAAAATTTCTTGATCTTCGTTATCAAAGAATTTCTTTATAAATGCCTTAGACACTAAAGCAAAAAAATATACCAACTTTATTGCATTACCTAGCATTTTTAAAAATGTATCTCTAACGGCAAAGAGCTGCACAACGATGGCGGCTGTAGTTAGAAGAAAGATTCGGGAAAATAAACTTGGAGCATTACAAGCTTCTACTTTAATTATTTCAGAGTTAGTGCAAAAAACTCTCTTTGTTCTAAACTCCAAACCTTAACTGTTTCAGAGTTAGTTCAAAAAGAAAAACAAATTTTCTTCTATTGGGTTGTCCAGTTATGAATGCGCGTTTTTTACTATTTTGTAAATTTTTCAAGATACCGAAATCAAGAAAAAGATATATATAAGTATTATTTGAAAGCTGAAGATCTCCTCTACATTTTGATATAAAAAGCTTTTGAATTTGTTCAGTTTTTGGGCAAATTGACTGCACAGAAGAAGAGGTGGCCAAAAAAATGGAAGGGTGCCTTTGGATCAAGTTTTGGCTCCGCTCAAATTGAGTTAACCGTTTGATTTTTGGCCAATAGATATATCAATACAATTTTTTTCAAAATATAACAATTTCAGAGCATCTTTTCTTTTCTTTTCTTTTCTGGGCGGTTATTTTACACCATAAAACTTGAGGAATAGCTAAGCTGGAGTGGGTTTTTTCGAAAACGACCTCTCCCTTTGGGCAGTCAATTTCCCAAAAAGTTGCATGAATTCAAAAACTTTTTTATTCCAAAATGTAGAGGAGATCTTCAGCTTTCGAATGATATATAACACTCATATAAATCTGTTCGATATCTTGAGAAATTTACAAAATAGTACAAACGCGCATTCATAACTGGACAACCCAATACAAAGTTGAAAACACAAAACAATCAACGTTGAATTTGATGATTTGATTGCTTCAATATTTCTTATCTCTGTTTTCTCATTTCTCAAACATTCTCATTTAGTTATTCAGTTACCTACCGGCCTAACTATTATATAAATATAAATATCTTTTCCGGATTCCTGTGCTTTTGCAGAGTTCTAAAACGCAAAAAAAGCTTTACACAAAGTTTTAAACCTTTAATTCTAATACAATAAAGTACCGTATTTCTTCGATGAGAAGACCGGGTAAAGAGTATCATCGCGTACTCCTGCGTAGCAGCCCTTTTTAAAATTTCTTTTCTGCATAAAAGCTTTCAATCAAGTGCTATAGGGCTGAAAAAAGAAATCTGTTAGCTCATGTGGTATTTTTGAGTCATTTTCCAGCTCTATAGCACTTGATTTAAAGCTTTTATGCAGAAAAGAAATTTTAAAAAGGGCTGCTACGCAGGAGTACGCGATCATACTCTTTACCCAGTCTTCTATTCGAAGAAATACGGTAGGTAGACTTTTCAAAATTTCTTGATCTTCGTTATCAAAGAATTTCTTTATAAATGCCTTAGACACTAAAGCAAAAGAAAATATACCTACTTTATTGCATTACCTAGCATTTTTAAAAATCTATCTCTAACTCACCCTCAGACGATTCCGATGAAGCTGATGCGAGTTTTCCCTTCTCCGGGTTTTCTTCCGTTTTCGTCGAATTTTCAGCGCAAATCACAGAAATCAGGAAAACTGCAGAGAATAGAGTTAATAACAAAAGAAGTTTCATTTTGAAAAAAAACACTCAAAAAAGATCAATAGTGATTCGAGATTAAACTGCGGCGATTTCCCTCCGAACACCCGTTTTGACACAGCCGCAAAGTGACCGCAGCAGCTGACGAAAAGAAAAGTGAAAAGAAAAAAAACCCGTTCACAGTGATCTCAAGAAACAGATAGGCTCTAAGGAACATTGAGCTTTTAAAAAAATCTTTGTAGCAATCTCGAATACTTTGTAGCAAAGTCTACTCTAATTTCTTGTAAGCCTATTAATTTTGAGAAAAATAAACACCTATCCGTGGGGGTGGGACAAATGCGACCTTTTTTTGCTGGAAAAGGCCTTAGGCAAGGCCGTAGAGCTTCGAAAATATTTCCATATAAGGGAATCGTCTTGGGGTTTCTAAAAGTTCAATATAAATTAAGCAAAGCAAATTTTGTTATCTACGAATCGGCTATAGTAATGCCCGGCAAATTAGCTACACGAACAACAAGTAATTCTCTGAGCTAAACTTTAAAACTACGCTAACAACAGGTAGTTCTTTCAAAAACCATAGAAACATAAACTAAAAACTAGTTCAACAAAATAACAAGTAAGACAAGAAAAAGCAAATCTTTAAAAACCCACGTCTTCTTCGGCCATTGCAAGTCGACTTCGTTGAGAAGGTTGTGATAGGAAAATGTGATAGCATTGCCTTTGAAAGATTTGTTTTATTTGAGCATTAAATGGTAATTTTCGAGGATCAAATGTAAACTTGAGTATAAATTCATCACTTTGCTTAAACGGTAGAGTTACGGTGTTTTCCAGTAACTTTTCATTTGAAAAGTTGATTTTTGCGTATTATTTATGATTCAAAAGTCGTAGAACAGTTTTAGAACAGTTTTATTCTGCATTAACTTTGACCGATAAGCAATTCTCGCTTTTTAATGGAAATTTGACTTTTTTCAATAAAAAACAATGCTCTTTGGAAAGCCGATAAATAAAGAACAGACGCAAAATCAAAGTCTCAATTTTTCCCCAATCAGCGCATTTCTATCTAATCTTGCTTGCATTCTGTAAATTAAACAAATTTCCGTTTTGAAAAGTTCAATATATATATAGCTCATATTGGAACCATATTGGAACCGTATCCGAACCATATTGGAACCATATTGGAACCATATTGGAACCGTATCCGAACCATATCCGAACCATATTGGAACCATATTGGAACCGTATCCGAACCATATTGGAACCGTATCCTAACCATATCCGAACCATATTGGAACCATATTGGAACCATATCGGAACCATATTGGAACCATGGTCGCGTCCGTTTCCTTCCTATTTGCGTTGCTATTTTGCAATTATTCGCGTCGCATTTTTCGCCCTTTTCTCCCTTCCCGAAATTGTTTTTTTTGGTCTGCTGGTGGCTTTTGCCTTCCCTCTTGGGGACTTTTGTTGTTTCTTTTGATGCGCATGCTGTTTTTGTAATAGGTATTGTTGCATTTTGGTTTTGTACTAATAAACAGTAAAATTATAAATTCAACTTACTTTCTGCTACCCTTCAGGTTTCAAATCCTGTTTAGATAACTGGTTTAACATTGTAGCGAGAGCTTACTAACATTTGTGTCGCCACCGACGAGTATTAATCTTGTGTTGGATGCTGCTCGTTCTTGTTATGTTGTAAGCGCTTTGGGGAAACCCTTTTTAACCTTCTTTGTGCAATTCGGCTATTCTGAAGCAAAATCATCCTCGATGATAAGGTTAAAGCGGGTCGCACCCCAAACTCCATATTGGAACCGTATCCGAACCATATTCGAACCATATTGGAACCATATCGGAACCATATTGGAACCATATTGGAACCATATTGGAACCGTATCCGAACCATATCGGAACCATATTGGAACCATATTGGAACCATATTGGACCCATATTGGAACCATATTGGACCCATATTGGACCCATATTGGAACCATATTGGAACCATATTGGAACCGTATCCGTACCATATCGGAACCATATTGGAACCATATTGGACCCATATTGGAACCATCTTCGACTGCTTTCGAAAAATAAATTACAAAAATTTTTCACTTTATAGGAACAAGAATTTTATAAGGAAAGAAATCAGAATTGTGAAATTTTTATGAGAAACTAAACTTTTGAAGATTTAAAGAAACACGACATTTTCTCCGTTTGGATATCCGGATCGGTCGGACGGTTGGTGAGTAGGAGGAAAATTGATAAAATGTGTTACTCGTTTTGTAAAATGTGTTCAACTTTCTCTTTCTACCATAATCCTGTTCCTATTTTTATCCATTCTATCCACTTTCTATATCTTTCGATATCCTTTATGAACTCTCACAGAATCAGACAAAAATAAATAGATTGGATAAAAATGAGAGCTGGTCAAAACAGCGCCGTGTACAAGCAGCGCCGGTCAAAATGATGTATTTGCGGTTAAATTTATTTGTGTTTCTTATTTTCATTGAATGTAGAAAAATTAGCTATCTGCTGAATTTTTTAGAGCCATTTAGAACAAATCTGGGATGAAAAAATGCCAAAAAACGAGAATGAGCTCAAAAAAAGGTTAACCGAGCTCTTCTTAACACCAATTCTGTTTTAAATGATCCCAAAGTATGCAAAATGTAGATAATTTTATTCTGCATCCAATAACAATAAGAAAAAGAAAAAGAATAGAAACTTAACCGCGGAGGGACTATTTTTGGCGTAGCGCTGTTTGTACACGGCGCTGTTTTGACCAGCTCGCATAAAAATTCGAGACAAGATTACGGTAGAAAGAGAAATGGGACACGTTTTATAAAACACTGTTTAATCGAAGCATTTGATCAAATAAAACCCGGCGGCCGTCTCTATACTTGTTTTTACACTTTCCAAAACATTTTTACCGCTCTGTAAGATTTTGTATGGCTTAGAAGTTACAAAAACTAACCCGTTTTCTCTGAATGAGTTTACTCTGATTGCTTTTTAAAAGAATTTTTCACGGGGGGAATAATGATTGTTAACTATTCTTTCAAGTAGTTGTTTGTTCTTTTGATCAGCCCGAAAACAATTACCCACCAGACTAAACATCTTCTGGTACGGTTTTGTGTTCAATTCAACAGTGTCAGCTCCGAGCCCAACTGATATTTTAGTTACTATTGTTATTATTGAATGATTTGTCTATTCTTATGCAAATGTGTTTCTCCCCTGTGCTTATCCCTATTATTGCCGAGAAGGGGCGGTCCTTGGGATTGCCTAGGAGTGAGGACAGTGAGGAGCCTAGAAGGACAGTGAGGAGCCTAGGAGAACAGTGAGGAGCCTAGGAGAACAGTGAGGAGCCTAGGAGAACAGTGAGGAGCCTAGAAGGACAGTGAGGAGCCTAGGAGAACAGTGAGGAGCCTAGAAGGACAGTGAGGAGCCTAGGAGGACAGTGAGGAGCCTAGGAGGACAGTGAGGATCCTAGGAGGACAGTGAGGAGCCTAGAAGGACAGTGAGGAGCCTAGGAGGACAAGTTAGACTCTCATTTGGAGTCCCCCTTCCCTTTACACTCATTTGTAATCTATTCGTCTTATCGTACTACTGTAAATAAAGATGTATATCTTCCGGGTCTATGCAACTGCAGTGCAGGTCGGTCATTTCACAGGGACTCCCCTCTAATACGTTGGAGGAGTTGAGTTGGGTTGTCGGGGTGTTAGAGATGGCGGGGATATCAAAAGGGATCCACTCTCTTTAACTTAACCCAAATTCTAGTCCACATCCGTTTATAACTAGGAACGAATAACAGTCTGTTTGGGTTAATAAAATCTCTAAAACTTTCCAGATGATTTCTAGATGCAGTTTTGTTCTTTTTATGTATAAAGCTGAAACAATTTTATCATCGAACTCTCGTCACTGGTCGAAATTCGTTTGCAGTGGAGACTTTCGAGATCCGTTTCTTGTCTTTCCGTTTCCGCAAACAGAATATCATTATTAAACTAAAATAAATAAAAGTTTCCAAACTAAGAAACCTTTGAAGGCCTTTAGGCTAACCTTTGAAGAAAAATAAACAAAAACGAGTCACTTAGCGGTAGCAAACTGTGGTAAAACATGTAAATGAGAAGATTTGTCGCAAATAGCTCGATCAACAACAAGACCAAAACGCTTCCGATCGTGCTGATGAGTATCACAACGGTGCTTGATAACATCTAAGATAAAAATGTCAAATACTTCTTGCCTTATCCTTGCCTTATCCTAGCCTTATCCTTGCCTTATCCTAGCCTTATCCTTGCCTTATCCTTGCCTTATCCTTGCCTTATCCTTGCCTTATCCTTATCCTTAGCTCACGGAAATTGATTTAAACATTGTGATTTCCCGTACACTGTCTATCTCGTAGATACAACTGGTTCTACAATCTAGTTAGATACAATAATACAATCTAGAGTCTCTATGTTGGTTTTAATTTCTTGTCTTGTGCTTTCGTCACTCATGGCTACTTGAAGTGGGCTGCTTTTTAAGGTATTGTTTGAAAAATCGGTTGCTCCTTTTAATCTATGAATCTAATTTTGCAAATAATACAACACACTTGAATATAATAGACGTAAAAACTCTAAACTTAAAGTTACTTTGCAAAAAGCGTTGAATCTTATATCAGTCTTCATAATCTTACAACTCAACTTTAAAAAAAACGAATTGAAGCCACCTATTAACGTTTACTTCTTGTTAAACAACACCTAAATAGTTCTAGTTCAATAAAAAAAACTATCCTTTTAATTAGTACACAATAGTTTCAGTTAGAGTGTGTTACTCGCGAGTAATGCGTTTTTTAAAACGCACACTTAGAGCCATAGAACCATATTGGATCCAAATAGAACCATATTGGAACCATATTGGAACCATATTAGAGCCATAGAACCATATTGGAACCATATTGGAGCCATATTACAGCCATAGAACCATATTGGAACCAAATAGAACCATATTGGATCCATATTGGAGCCATTTTAGAGCCATAGAACCATATTTGAACCAAATAGAACCATATTGGATCCATATTGGAGCCATATTAGAGCCATAGAACCATATTGGATCCAAATAGAACCAGATTGGAACCATATTGGAGCCATATTAGAGCCATAGAACCATATTGGATCCAAATAGAACCAGATTGGAACCATATTGGAGCCATATTACAGCCATAGAACCATATTGGAACCAAATAGAACCATATTGGATCCATATTGGAGCCATTTTAGAGCCATAGAACCATATTTGAACCAAATAGAACCATATTGGATCCATATTGGAGCCATATTAGAGCCATAGAACCATATTGGATCCAAATAGAACCAGATTGGAACCATATTGGAGCCATATTAGAGCCATAGAACCATATTGGATCCAAATAGAACCAGATTGGAACCATATTGGAGCCATATTAGAGCCATAGAACCATATTGGATCCAAATAGAACCAGATTGGAACCATATTGGAGCCATATTAGAGCCATAGAACCATATTGGAACCAAATAGAACCATATTGGATCCATATTGGAGCCATTTTAGAGCCATAGAACCATATTTGAACCAAATAGAACCATATTGGATCCATATTGGAGCCATATTAGAGCCATAGAACCATATTGGATCCAAATAGAACCAGATTGGAACCATATTGGAGCCATATTAGAGCCATAGAACCATATTGGATCCAAATAGAACCAGATTGGAACCATATTGGAGCCATATTAGAGCCATAGAACCATATTGGATCCAAATAGAACCAGATTGGAACCATATTGGAGCCATATTAGAGCCATAGAACCATATTGGATCCAAATAGAACCATATTGGATCCATATTGGAACCAAAAAGACAATTATTGACATTGACAGTTACAGCCACTCCAAAAACATTTACCTTTTCCCCTTTAATATCTCCAAAATCACACTCGGAGCTAGAGTGTGTTCCTCGCGAGTAATGCCTTTTTTAAAACGCACACTGAGGAAAAATTACCGTACTTCTAGCGAAAATTATTGCAGAAAAATCAGCGCAAAAATCATGAGCGCCGCCTTATATACGACTCCTTTTAAAGATATTCAGCCGTTCAAATTCCCTTCAAAATTCCCTTCAAATGTAAAGATATTCAATTTACTCGATGTGTAAAGAGGATTACTCGTAGTTACTCGACCAAAAATGTCGATTAATCGATGAAACATTACTAATTTATTTACTCGATTACTAATTTACTCGAGTAATTACTTACTCGCGAGGAACACACTCTAGTTTTAGTTGTACCTGTAACATGAGCAGACCCTCGGCTTTGGAGACTTTGCCGTGTTTCCTCAACTAAACAAAACGTGCAACTAAAGATGTTTTGCTTACATGTGTCATCTTGTGCCCAGTCACCGCATCTAACGAACACATGATCAACAAGACTCCCGGGTAGATATAACTGTGCAGACAAGTGTCTGTGCTTCCCACTAGCTCATTAATGAGCACAAGACCGAGTGTCGCAATGTTGGGTATTAGCAGTTGAACCCACGACCACTTTTGTGTACTCCGAAAATAACGACCATCAAAGGAGACGGCAAAGAAGCGGCTGAAAACGGTTTAGTGTAAAGATAGCTGACTGAGTACTGAGTAGCTGACTGAGTACTGAGTAGCTGACTGAGTACTGAGTAGCTGACTAAACTGAGTACAAACTCTTGACTAGCCAAAATAAACACCCATTTTCCTTAGCTACACTGTTGATTATAAGTTGAAAAGATCAACTGTTGAAGTTGAAAAACTAACTGAAAGTTTACAAGTAAGTTTACCTAAGCGATATCATCAATTGACAATATTTGGCTGCAGTGACGAAATCGTAGCCATGAAGAAAAATGTTGACTTGTTGCCAGTATGTTATTAATACTTCAGGGCAACTTAAAGTTTTTGATTTCTCTCAAAATTTTCTAGTATCTAACTCTAGTGGAAACGGTTGTTCGTTAACACAAAAAGTTCCGAGTGTGTTCGTTATGACGAAGATGAACTTGTTGAGATTCTCAGCGATGAGCAGTAAGCTGGAAACTCTTTTGAGCCTAGTATACACCAACAAGTACACACTAGAGACTTTAGAACTTTAAAACTTTACCCATTGCATCCTTGTTTACACCAGAGAACGATTTAGAATAAGAACTTTAAAGGAAGTTGAAGATAACTTAAGATAAGACGATAATTCTAAAGGTCGATTTGCAAAGGATAGCGAGTTTCCCCTGGACTATATTTTCCAACGTTCGTTTTTCAAACAAACAGTTAGCCTTAAGGTTTCTGATTGTGAAGAGGAACTCGTTTTAACTTTAAAACTTTACCCATTGCATCCTTATTTACACCAGAGGGCGATTTAGAATAAGAACTTTAAAGTAAGATAACTTTATAGCTTATATAAGTATTGATTGATATACAAAAAGATTGATTGATGTACAAAAAGTCATAACTAGTGACTAGTAACTAGTAGATTCTCTAATACACAGATATATTAGAGAATCTGTAAGATTATTGCCTATCTTATGGTAAGACTTTATTCGGTTAGTGTACGAATAGAGAAATTACCGTATCGACGGAGCTAGTCGGTCGTTTGTTGCCGAAAAGAAAGCGGCCAACGGACAAAGAAAAAGACTGAGCACGAGAGCCTAAAAGTTAACGGTTTTCAGCTATCGTAAATACTGTAATAGTACCCCACCCCCTTCGTAAGGTCGCGTAGTCGCAGAAGGTTTTTAGTATTTCATTTTTTCAAAGCGCCCGTACTTTCAAAAAATGCGTTTTTGGTATCAAAAAATAGCCCTGAATTTCAGCTATTTTTTGATACCTAAACGCACATTGTAGCATAAACCAGTGTCGAGAAAAACTCGTTCAAAGCTAGACTACGCAACACTCCGCACTGTCATTATGGGGGTGGGGTACTATTGCAGTATTTACGGTAGGTATTATGGTATCTGTTTAGGCTAAAGGCAAATCCAGTACCCATGTTCCGCCTTGATGAGTTATTTGGTCAAAGAGATTGAGTGTGCCAAAATTAAAGTCGGAATTTCTTTCCAACACTGACGATTTCCCACCAACCAGGAAGCTCAAAACGGTCAACAAAGAGTTTAAACCTGCAATATAATTTTTTTTTCAAGCAAATGTAAAACTTTTAAAAAGAAAACAAACTACTAGTTTAACTGTTTCACTTACCAATTAAAAAGATGGTCACTAGTAGAAAATGGCTGAAATCATTATGAATTATTGACAAAAAAGACATTAAAAAATGGAAGTTCAACAAGATTTTCTTGTCCAAAAGCGAAACAAATTGGGAAGATTACCGTGGGAAAGTGGTGTGGCTTTGGGTAAGGGAATTCTTCGAAATTGTTGAGAGATTACAAATCACAAGTTGAATCAAAGATCAAAGGGTATGTTAGCCTTAAGCCTGATGATTCACTAGATCTGTAAGGGTTCACCTTTTTAGTATGCTTGCCAGAAAACTTGCTAAAACGAGTTCCTCTTCACAATCAGAAACCTTAAGGCTAACTGTTTGTTTGAAAAACGAACGTTGGAAAATGTAGTCCAGGGGAAACTCGCAATCCTTTGCAATTTAGAATTATCGAATTAGGCTTTTAGAATTATCGTCTTATCTTAAATTATCTTCAACTTCCTTTAAAGTTCTTATTCTAAATCGTCATCGTTCTTTGTCCGTTGGCCGCTTTCTTTTCGGCAACAAACGACCGACTAGCTCCGTCGATACGGTAATTTCTCTATTAGTTTCTCGATACGGTTCTGAAATTTCGGGAAACTATGTAATCGATGAAGCGTTTTATTTTAAAAAGTATGCAATCACTCAAGAATATAATAGCTCATGAATGCTAGAAACCAAGACTTTGAACTCTTACATTAAAATGCCTGAAAAAGTCTAAAATAAAACATTTTCAAAAATTCAAAAAAGCCATTTTGTAGATAAAGGATAGGGCTTTTGAATCAAGCAAAGTGTTTTTGGATTGGATAGGCCGTTTTTTCCGAAAACACATTACCCCAAAAACGATCGTTTATAACTTGCCAACCTAATAGGAAATAATCTTACAGATTCTCTAATATTAGGTTGTCGGATTATGAATTGCCGTTGTCTTTTTTGCTTTGTATTTTTTTTTCAAATAAATTTTTATTAAGTACTTTTTAAACTATATTAAAGAGCGTTTTATGCCGCGTCGATTGATATATTATTCGTCTATATTTGCTTAGATTTTTAATATAAATTTGTCTTAGGAAATGAACGACATCAAAAATAAAATGCGGATTTGTTTGTTGTACGACTTCAAACAAAGAAAAACAGCGGCAGAATCCCATCGCTCTATAAGCAATGCATTCGGAGAAGATGTTATCAACGAACGTCAATGTCGCAATTGGTTTCAGCGCTTTCGGGACGGCGACGAGAGCCTTGAAGACAAAGAACATGAGAGGCGACCAAAAACTGTGGACGATGAGGAACTTAAAGCAGCCATCGATTCTGATCCTGCCCAAACGACACGAGAACTTGCTGAGAGGTTCGGTTGTCATCATTCCACCATTGCTGACCACTTGCATGCCATTGGTAAGGTGAATAAATGCGGTAAATGGGTGCCTCATGAACTAAGCGATTTGAACAAAACAACGCGAATCAATATGGCCGGAATTCTTTTGCGTCAAGCCAAGAACAGTGGTTTTTTTTGAGTCGATTGTCACGTCTGATGAAAAGTGGATATCCTTTGATAATACCACTAGAAAACGACAATGGTTGGACCCTGGACAAACCCCAAAACCGACTCCAAAACCAGACATTCATGGCAAAAAGGTGATGCTATGTGTTTGGTGGAATAGCAAAGGATTGGTGCATTTTGAAGTGCTAAATTCTGGTCAAACGGTTAATGCGGACCTCTACAAAGAACAATTAAGCCGCGTCGATCAATCGCTTCGTCGACAGGGAGTGGAAACAGCGTCAACAAAATTGCTCCATGACAACGCGCGTCCACACACCGCAAAAGTAACTCTGAAAAAAATTGAAGAATTGGGCTGGGAACTTCTGCCTCACCCGCCATATAGCCCAGACCTTGCGCCATCTGATTACCATTTGTTCCGGTCGATGCAGCATTCCTTGGCCGAAAAAAAAATTCAAAAACCGCGATGAAGTCCAAATTTGGGTGGCCAATTTCTTTGAGTCACAGCCGGTCGAGTTCTTCAACAAGGGCATTCATTCTTTGCGTGGACGTTGGCGAGATGTCATAGATACCGATGGAGAATACCTTTTAGATTAAAATATTTTTGTATTGATTTTATAATAAAATTACTTTTTGATAAAAACGGCAATTCATAATCCGACAACCTAATATATCTGTGTATTAGAGAATCTACTAGTTACTAGTTACGCATATGACTTTTTGTACATAAATCAATCTTTTTGTATATCAATCAATACTTATATAAACTATAAGATTATTTTCAACTTACTTTAAAGTTCTTATTCTAAATCGTCCTCTGGTGTAAACAAGGATACACTGGGTAAAGTTTTAAAAGTTCTAAAGTCTCTAGTGTGTACTTGTTGGTGTATACTAGGCTCAAAAGAGTTTCCAGCTTACTGCTCATCGCTGAGAATCTCAACAAATTCATCTTCGTCATAACGAACACACTCGGAACTTTTTGTGTTAGCGAACAACCGTTTCCACTAGAGTTAGATACTAGAAAATTTTGAGAAAAACCAAAAACTTTAAGTTGCCCTGAAGTATTAATAACATACTGGCAACAAGTCAACATTTTTCTTCATGGCTACGATTTCGTCACTGCAGCCAAATATTGTCAATTGATGATATCGCTTAGGTAAACTTACTTGTAAACTTTCAGTTAGTTTTTATCTTTTCAACTTATAATCAACAGTGTAGCTAAGAAAAATGGGTGTTTTTTTTGACTAGTCAAGAGTTTGTACTCAGTTTAGATCTAGCTATCTTTACACTAAACCGTTTTCAGCCGCTTCTTTGCCGTCTCCTTTGATGGTCGTTATTTTCGTGGTCCACACAGTACACAAAAGTGGTCGTGGGTTCAACTGCTAATACCCAACATTGCGACACTCGGTCTTGTGCTCCTTAATGAGCTAGTGGGAAGCACAGACACTTGTCTGCGGTTCTGGTACGATTTGGTTTCAATTAAACATAGTCTGTTTGGTTAATAAAATCTCTAAAACTTTCAAGATGATTTCTAGATGCAGTTTTGTAGAAGCTAAGAAAAGTTTCTTAAATTTTTTAAAAAACGAGATTTTCGCCTTTTCAATGGGTTTTTTCTTGGCACAATGGCTTTTCTTTCAATGGTTTTTTTGCTTAAACTGAATTTCTTTATATATTGATTCAATTGAAAATAGTCATGTAGATGTCCTTTCAACCCTGGAAAAGCAAAAGAGGAAGTCTGTCTAAAAAAGAAAGCAAGGTCAAATAGAGATGGAGAAATGCCTTTTTTTGGATATTCAAGTAAAGAGAAAAAGGAACGCAATCTCTTTTCTTAAAAGACAGGCGCCCCTTTTACAAATTTCACAGTCACAAGGCGGCAGAACTTTCCCATTTTGACGATCAAATAATCAATTTTTCCTGTAAAACTCGTCGAAAATTAACTCTCTTTTAAATGTTAACTGCTTGTAAAGTTGAGTGCTCAGTTTGAGTTGTTTGTTTATGCCAAAAAGCCAACATAACATAACGGTTTAAAACAATGGCTGTTTGCTTGTTTAAAAGCCAACATTGCCTGTTTTCTAGTTGAAACGTCTACTAAAGTTGTACTTTACCTATTTTAAGTAATTTAAAGTATTTAAAGTTGAACTAGTATTTTCGATATCGTTTCAGCATTGATGAGTGGTGCAACGTATTGGTGTTGGCAGCCGACAAGCGTCAAGCCAAGCCCTCCAATACGCGAGGATCAATACAAATGTTGCTGTGGCTCGTTCACCGATATCGGATGCACAGCAAAGGTTTTTTCTAACTTAATTATGATCCAAAAAAGTCAAGACAAGATCCTAAAATTAAATTTTAAAATGGTGTATCGGTACTACGCCGGTTGTGAGGCACTTTTTTTTCTTCAAAATCACTTTTTCTGGGGTAGCTTTATGCGTAGATTTCGAAAAACACAACGACAGCTTGAGAAAAGATGTTTTAAGCCGAGTTTCGGGCTCCAAAATGTCCTCTATAGTGTACTTCACTATATGGAGCACAAGCTATCGACTATTGGGACACTTCTCAAGGTCAAAACTAGAGCCAAAAGTTAAAGCACTTTGGACTTTGGAGCCCGAAACTCGGCTTAAAACATCTTTTCCCAAACTCTCGTTGTGTTTTTCGAAATCTACGCATAAAGCTACCCCCAGAAAAAGTGATTTTGAAGAAAAAAAAAAGTGGCTCACAACCGGCGTAGTGCCGGTGTTTCAGTATGGTTTCTGTGTATTCATCGCTCTTGATGTCATCGAGTTGGTCTTCGCTCTGCTCGGGCTCGCCCCACTCTTTTTGGTTAGACTTTAAACACTACCATAAAAGCTTACCTAGTTACCTAAAGTACTAAAGAAGTTTTGCAAATTGATTTTTCAGATTTAAAAACATTTTGGCTGAATGTATTAAGTAAAAGTGTAAAAGTAAAGTAAAAGTGAACCCTAATTTTGCCGACTAAAAAGGTAGTGATAGTTTTTAGTAAAAAGAATCGAATTGAAAAAAAAAATCTATGATGTCTAGAGTAAGTAGCCAAAATAAACAGACAAACAAACAAGCAAAGAAACAGAAAATCCCAATAAAAACCTACAACTGCTTAAAAACGGGCTTTCAGTATCAACTTCCATTTGCAATCGGCATGGTTGCTCTGGCCATTCTCGCCATTCAGACCCTCAAACCAATCTACATGCAAATTTATGGAATCACTTATGTATGACATTATCTGATTTTGATTTACATTCATTTTTCAGTTAATTTCGTTATTTTGGCGAGCTCTCATCGTCGGATACATGGCCTTTCTAGCGATAAAGGCTCTACTTGCGTATGTACAGAGTGTTCGATACAGTGTGTGTGATAATTATTGACCGTCTTTGAAAGCCTCGTCCAGCTCGAACAATTGTTTTTCCAGTTGTCTTGAACAAGTTAACAGCTCGGCGAACAGTCCTTAGCAAAAGATCGTTGAAATCTCTTTTGTGGTCATCCCGGCACGATGAAGATCGAGATTGATCCGCGCTTAGGATAAGGAGCAACCATTCTAAAAAAATACAAAATTGGATAGTCTTTTTATAGAGAAGAATATTAATAACAGAGAAAATAACAAAATGAAACAAAAAAAAGTGCAACGTTGCTTAAAAAAAAGCGTAATAGGGCCATTAAACATATTTCAAAAAGTAATAACAGACAGACAGACGGGCTACGGCCTCGCCACGTTGAAACACGGTATCCCGTCAGATTTGCCAAGTTAAGCAACGTTGGGCTTGGTTAGTCTCTGGTTCGAATCCAGCAGAGATGAGTCAAGGACATCTTCCCTGAACCGAGTGCTGTAGGTAACCGCATCCATATGGTGAACTAGTTCCCAAGACCGGCCCCCCTAGGCCCCTTCCCCACGGGATTTAGGATAAACAGGGATCCAAATGGGTAGACTTGTCTAAGGCACAACCACATATAAAGCGGGTAGCCTTCTCCTCCTACATCGTCTCCTACATCGTCTCCTACATCGTCTCCCACATCGTCTCCTACATCGTCTCCTACATCGTCCCATCCTCGGGTAGCCTTCTCCTACATCGTTCCATCCTCGGGTAGCCTTCTCCTAAATCGTCTCCTACATCGTTCCATCCACACAAACGATAGAATATTCCCCTAGGTCTTAATGTGTAAATTGTGATTATGTGTGTGCAAAATAAATCACCCGTAACCCTGGTATACATTAAATAAGTAAGCGGTCAAAAATTATCATGCACCCTGTAATTGCCCGGACTCAGTATTTTAAGTGTAGCTCAGCACTCAGATGCGCAATCATCTCACGCTTTTTAATAGAAAATTTAAAATATTTATCCACAATCGATTCTTAGTTTTGACAAAAAAACTACCTTTTTGCCTTTTTTATAGAGCCACAAAGTTGGCAATCAGGAGTTGCCTGGCTTGTTTTTTTTTCATTTCCAGAAAACGCCAGAAATTAAGCATGTCTTTATACGGTTTTGTTTTTGCAAAACGTTTTAAACAAATATCAAATGAATCGGAAGGTAATGTGACACTCAATTAGGCAATTATTTTGAGAAACTTGGGGGTCTAAGCGTTGGCTTGTCAAAAGATGACATTGCGAACCAAAATTTTTCATTTTTCAAGTTTTGTTTAATATGAATCTTTAATCTTTAGATAAATGTAACCTAATAAAACTAAATTTAGCATTGAAACGTTCAAATGATCACTAAAATTTTCGTTAAATCCTTCAAAAACAAGTACCGCGCCAAGCTTTGACACAAATCAAAAAAGACAGACAAATATTTAAATTTTCTATTAAAACAAAGCGTGAGATAATTGAACATCTGAGTGCAGATTTACACTTAAAAGACTGACAAAGGAACCTTCCCAAGTTGCTCGCGAATTATAATGTGGGTACCAAAAGAAAGACCTAAAAATGTCCGTTCAGAAACTATTTTCAAAAAGCGCTAATCGGCAAAACGCAAGGCTTAGGAAAGGCCTTTCCTAAGCCTAAGCCTAAGCCTTTCCTAAGCCTAAGCCTTTCCTAAGCCTAAGCCTAAGCCTTTCCTAAGCCTAAGCCTAAGCCTTTCCTAAGCCTTTCCTAAGCCTTTCCTAAGCCTTTCCTAAGCCTTTCCTAAGCCTAAGCCTAAGCCTTTCCTAAGCCTTTCCTAAGCCTTTCCTAAGCCTTTCCTAAGCCTTTCCTAAGCCTTTCCTAAGCCTAAGCCTAAGCCTTTCCTAAGCCTTTCCGCCTGCAAAAATCAGTGTGCCAGAAATTCGAGAAAAGCCTTCATTTTTTCGAAATTCAAATGGCTATAACAATTTGCGTTTTGCCGATTAGCAGTTTTTGAAAACACTTTCTGAACGGACATTTTTAGGTCTTTCTTTGGCACCCACATTATAATTCGCGAGCAACTTGGGAAGGTTCCTTTGTCAGTCTTTTCAGTGTAAATCAGCACTCAGATGTTCAATCATCTCACTCTTTGTTTTAATAGAAAATTGATTTTTCATTGAATATTGTAACTCGCGAATAACTTGGGATGATTCCCTTGTGAGTCCGGGTAACTATTGAGCCCTGTATAATAATTTTTCCTTTCAACTATCTAAATTTCTAGTGCTCTCTCCGCAAACAACGAATCCGACTGGCAGAAAGAACAAAACAATACGGTTATTGTCAAATCAAGAAGTAACTAAGTTCTCCCCTTTTATATCACAAAAACTTTTCTAGTTAGCCTCACCATCGTGTTCCTTGTGGCCCTGTTCGCCCTGTGGCGCGCGAGTGTCACCTGGAACTATTACAAGTTTCTTCGGTGAGTTGAAAGAAATAAGAAACTGTAAATTTCATTTGCTCAATATAGACACTCATTTTTTTCATCTACGACCTACCATTTAGAATTACGCTTGAATTCTATTGGTTAATCAATTGAAGCTCAACCAAAGTCCAGTGTCATTTCAACAATAAAAAGGCAACACAGGACAAATTTAATCTTACAAAGACAAAGATAAAGTATTGATGCTGAATTTTTGTTCAAAAGTATTCAATGACTTAAGAAAACTTAAGATTTGTTTCCAGAGATCGTCAACTAGCCATCGAGCAGCAATCGGATGTAAGCCAAAACACGGTATGAGTATGCGGGCATTTCACATCCAGATTCAAGATGAAAATAAATGTTTTAGAAAGTGAATACATAAACTTAACAAAACACGAAAGCACCTATGGAAACTTGCAGATGGTTTTTAACAAATGAACCAACAAGGGAAGGTCAACTCGGTGTACCGGCTCACACATTAGCCATAGACCATTCGATGGCCAGAGCCACCTGATCCAAAGAAGCATTGTAGTGCGCTGAAGGCAAACTGTCATGGCGCTCACCTATTTGAACCTATTTTCAATTGAAAAATCCTTCAAAAAGCCTTTTTAATCGTATACTTTTATTTTAAGTAACAGTTCAATTGTTATTTGAAAAGAATCAAATCTCTCGTCAAAATAAAAACGTAAGATAGTCTTCAAAAACATGCGAAACTGTGTTTATCTGATGAGCGATGTGTCTCGAATCTAGGCTTCTTGAAAAGGCTGAAAATGTCTGATTGGAATAATTAACTTATAGAAATGTTCATCAGAATTTCAGCTTCAAAATACTAGAAAACACGGGAAATTTTGTTTGAGCTTTCATTTAGAAAATGAATCATTTACAAGTGTGCGGGGAACTTTTTGATCACCCTGTACGCCCTAAAACAAACAAGTTCCTAAAGGATTACCCAAGGGGAAGGTCCCTTCAATAACACTTCAATAACAATTCTCGAAAAAGACTCAGCAAAGATCAAAGGCCAATTTCAACTCCAAACCCAGATTATCATGGGCACAAAGTGATGTTGTCTTGCTGGTGGAATGCTGGTGTGTCTTGCTGGGCAACGGACTTGTTTATTTCGAATTATTAGAGCCAGTGGATTGTCAGTTGACTTTGTTTGCTAGTTGCTAGTTATCAGTCGACCTTGTTTTCCAGTTGTCAGTTGTCAGTTGACTTTGACTTTGTTTGCACACTTCAAAGCTATCCTATTTGATACTATGTATTAACGTATTTTTGTACCTCGACATGATCAAAGTACATTTTATATTGTTGAAAATAAAAGGATAAATCAATCAATCGCAATCAATGAGTAAAACTTTTCAAGCGAAAATGAAACCGTTTGAAAGCAAAATTTTAATCTACTATTACCTTTACAAGTAACTGCATAGAATACAAAAATTTCACTTGAATTCAAAAGTTCAAAAACGTGAAAATTGTTACGTGGAGAGAAACGCTTCAAATTGAACCTTTCCGATTTTAATTCTCTTCAGAAAAGTTTCTTTTGGAAATAATTGAAAAAAATGCCTTGAACAACTGTTCATCAGTTGGATAGTTATTTTAATTGACTTCAATGAAACTTCAAATGATTTCCTACATAAATACCTCTGTTGCCTATGTGGATGAGATGGGGCCAGTCGTTTTGAGCAGTTTTGTCATAGAATCTCTGATTTATTTGGTGACTTTTCTCGTCATTCCATTCAGCCTTCACATTTCTGCAACTACAAACGTGTGTTGCTGTGCATTCAGTAAATATTCTTCTTGTTTTACATGATATTGACAATAGAGCAACCAACAGAGCTTATTGCTATCCATTGTGGCCATTACAGGGTGCGCCAAAAGTTCCCGTACTTGTATTTTCTGCATTTTTGGTAATTTTAGATAAAAGATACGATTTTAAAAGTAAGAAATTCGAATTCCTCGCAAAAAACTGATTTCGAAAACGTTTCTAGTTAATTTATAAGTGCAACACTATTTAGGAATGAGACAGAACGTTAAGACAAGTGATTGAGAAGAGGGTCCGCTCAGGAGCACTTTGGTCGCACAGTTACAGGGCACAGTTACAGTTATTTCCTTTGATGGAAATTTGTATGGGAAAACCAAGTTCTAACCTGACTTCCGACTCGGTCGTTGACCAAAACTTTATACACCCAATATAAAAAATGTCACATTTTATGTCTAGTTTTCGAAAAACATCTTGGGTCTTGAAAATCTTTTGATCCATAAAAGTTACAGGCCTGAAGCCCCAAAATATTGGGTGTATAAAGTTTTGGTCGAGTTGAGTCGGAAGTCAGTTTAGAACTTGGTTTTCCCATACAAATTTCCATCAAAGGAAATAACTGTAACTGTGCCCTGTAGCTGTGCCCTGTAGCTGTGCCCTGTAGCTGTGCCCTGTAGCTGTGCCCTGTAGCTGTGCCCTGTAGCTGTGCCCTGTAGCTGTGCCCTGTAGCTGTGCCCTGTAGCTGTGCCCTGTAGCTGTGCCCTGTAGCTGTGCCCTGTAGCTGTGCCCTGTAGCTGTGCCCTGTAGCTGTGCCCTGTAACTGTGCCCTGTAACTGTGCCCTGTAACTGTGCCCTGTAACTGTGCCCTGTAACTGTGCCCTGTAACTGTGCCCTGTAACTGTGCCCTGTAACTGTGCCCTGTAACTGTGCCCTGTAACTGTGCCCTGTAACTGTGCCCTGTAACTGTGCCCTGTAACTGTGCCCTGTAACTGTGCCCTGTAACTGTGCCCTGTAACTGTGCCTTGTAACTGTGCCTTGTAACTGTGCCTTGTAACTGTGCCTTGTAACTGTGCCTTGTAACTGTGCCTTGTAACTGTGCCTTGTAACTGTGCCTTGTAACTGTGCCTTGTAACTGTGCCTTGTAACTGTGCCTTGTAACTGTGCCTTGTAACTGTGCCTTGTAACTGTGCCTTGTAACTGTGCCTTGTAACTGTGCCTTGTAACTGTGCGACCAAAGCGCCCCTGAGCGGACCCTCTTCTCAATCACTTGTCTTAACGTTCTGTCTCATTCTCAAATAGTGTTGCACTTATAAATTAACTAGAAACGTTTTCGAAATCAGTTTTTTGCGAGAAATTCGAATTTCTTACTTTTAAAATCGTATCTTTTATCTAAAATTACCAAAAATGCAGAAAATAAAAGTACGGGAACTTTTGGCGCACCCTGTATCTCTACCTGCTTGAATAAAAAAGGCGTATTTACTTACCTAGCGATTGTACTTGAATACTTTGTTTAACTTAACTACTCTAAATAGGTTCCTTCATTGAACAACTCTTATCGTTATTAGAAAAAGTTAAAAACAAAACCAGAACCAAAGGAAAAACAACGGTAGACTTACAAAATCGCACTTTTTTTTCACATTTAGATTATAAAAAAATACGTCTAGTTAAAAGAAAAGACTTTTAGGTTTTCCATGTCAACACGCAACGAATCATCCACATCGGTCTATATCATTTGTATCTCTATGGAATCTGCCGTTTTGTCATGATCGCTTACGAGGCTCAACCTGATCTTCAATGTGAAATTTATCAAGAAAGTTAGTGATTGGGCTCTTTAGCTCAAAAAAAGCTACTCTTTCAGCTACAGAAATTTGTCCTTTGTTGTTTCAAATTGCTTCTTTTGGTCGAGTTTACATTTATACAATTATGAATGGTGAGTCGCCAGCTGATTCTCCGTTTTGTGAAAAGTTTACAAATTTAAGTCTGGTCCATTCTAAATAAGCTAGTAATAATATTTGATTTTCAGAAAAGAAAACCAGAACAAAAGAGAATAAGGAGAAAGCGTAGAAGAAAAATCTTGTCCAAGTTTGGCTAGGTCCAAGTTTGGCTAGGTTCAAGTTTGGTTAGGTCCAAGTTTGGCTAGGTCCAAGTTTGGCTAGGTCCACGTATGACTAGGTCCAAGTTTGGTTAGGTCCAAGTTTGGCTAGCTCCAAGTTTGGCTAGGTTTCTTTGGCTAGTTTTCGCGATGGGAAAAAAATCTCATCCAAAACTTGACTATAATTTGCCCGGATTACAGCTGGCTTGATTGGTGTGATGATCGAGAGAAGCATTGCCACGATCGCCTTCGCCACCTATGAGCACCGACACTATCGAACGTTTTTCGTTGGCCTGGTCATTTTTGGATGCACTGCTTCAGCGGCGCTCACGTGTTGTTACTTTTTCGGTAGTACTCCGATTTCTGCTTTAAGAAACTTTAGCTCTAAGAAACTTTAGCTCTGAGAAAGTTTAGCTCTGAGAAACTTTAGCTTTGAGAAACTTTAGCTCTTAGAAACTTTAGCTCTAAGAAACTTTAGCTCTATCTTGGTACCCGAGGTTCATTTCGAACAATGCGGAGATTGTTGCGTCATTGCTTTCTGGATTGGTAGGAATGGTAAAAAAATGTACTACAAGAGTCGATAGATCGGTGTTTTGATGACAAGAGCGAACGAGAAGCGAAGAAAAACGTTACATTCTACCGGATACACGTTAAGTAAAGCTTATTTGCTTACAGTCAACGCAAAAGTGATGAAGGTAATTTCAGGACAATAAATGCGTTTGTGGGAATTTCCATAGAATAACAAGATATTTCAAAAGTGCAACTTCCAGGTCACCATGTGTTACATCGTTCACACGGCAATCAACAACATTGTCTACTCTCTTCTATTTTATTGGCACTTCTCAAACACCTCTTGGGCAACACGGAACATTTTGGGGATGATCATAAATGTGCAGCTGGCTTTGTGAAAATTTATCACAGTATAAGTTATCACAAATTTTTCAGTCAATATTTCATGTTTGCCATTATGCTTTTCTGTTGTGATCGACAAATGTTTGAGATCGCAAAGAAGGCTATTTACACAAAAATGAAAAGGTACGGCAAAAGAGATTTATTGAGTAAATGATCAAGTTTAGGGTAACGCCAAAAGACGCTGATCCCGAGCCAGTGAAAGCCAATACCGTTGGGGAAAAGCGTGTGCGAGATGCGAATGGAAGGGTGGGAAAAAACGAAGCTTAATCGCGTACCGAACAAGAGTCTGAATGAATGAACGATTAAATATTAGGTTGTCCGGGATGAAAATACCCTTTTAATGATGGGTACCCATTTTCCGACGAGATTCGCTTTACCCAAACGATGTAAATAGTCCGCAATTGTTGTGTGGCCTCCAGCAAACATTGTTACAATTTTCCGAGTCGGCAAGGTTGCGTCATCTTCTATGGTTTCTTGAAGATCGTCATCGTTGAGCGCTGAAGGGAGGTGACCACGTCCTCGATCCTGTAGAGTTTCGTCTCTCTCTTTCTAAATTGTTGGAACCATTTTTTACAAGCTTCCTCTGAATAAGCAGCTCCCCCAAAAAATTTCAAGATTGAACTATGGCTCTCCCGGACACTTTTTCCTTGTTTAAAGTCGTAGAGCAAGCACACCCGAATTCGGTACTTCTGATCTTCCATTCGAAAAAAGTCAAAATTGTAAGGCAGTAAATTTTTATAAAAACATAGAATTAGAAAAGATATATAAATTTAAAACAAAACAAAAATCAGACGCGAAGCTGGCCGCTACACCGAAAAAATTGCAATCGAAGTTGAGGGTATTTTCATTTCGGACACCCTAATACATTTGGGTTATCGAATAGGAATCGTTGTATTTGACAGATAACGAAATTTCGTCAAACAGCGGTTTCATTATTAAATAGCTTTAAGCTGTGGTTTTTCTGTTTTTGCTTGGCTTTAGGGATTTTATATTGTTTAAGTATGTCAACTACAATACTGGACAAGACATTATTACCCCACGAATTTTTCTCCATCTTTGAAGAGCTATGACTCCGAGACTTTCCATCGTAAAGTAGAACTGTTACAGTGATTCTGAAAGCTTAAAACGAGCTCTATAAGATGGTGTATTCACTTTTTAAAATTATTTTAATTTTTGATACATTTCGGGGTGCGCAAAATAGGGTTTGAATAAAGCAAAATTTTTCAGCGTTGTTTTTCTTGTTGATGCCGTGCTCTAATCATCTTGAAATCGTGTTTTTTTGGAAAGAAAGTGCAAAACTACGCCTAGAAGGCTTCGATTTAAGTATTTATTGCTGTCTCAAAGCTCTAAAAAACTTTGCATTATCGGTTTTCGCATTATGGTCGTTTCTTTGAGACTTTGAGACGATTGAGAGACCAAATCTGAAATTTTACGCAAATAATATTTAACTTAAAATGAAAGAAAACAATAGGATCAGAAAAAAGAACAAAAAAAGCATTCTTGCTTATTCAATACTTTTTAGGAAATGTACACTGGAGCAAATCAAGACGACTATTTCACTCAGTTGAAAGCACAATGGGAGCAGCTGTCACCAAAGGCTCAATAGAAGACACAAAACAAAACAAAACGTTTACTTTTAATAAATTGCATAGCTTAAAACTGTTTGCGATTTATTTAGGAAAACAGAAACCTTAATCTGTCAGAAACACTTAACGTAATCGCTTTGTTACGCCTTGGTTGCATAGTAACTTGAACTTGAACTTGAACTTCAGAAAAATCACAGAAACTTTTTGATAAATTATTTCAAAAGCATTGAACTCCAATTGCTTTGTTATTTCTGGATTGCATAGTAAATCGTACTTTTTGGATAATAGCAGTTACCGTATTTTCTCTAATAGTAGTTGGTGGCCACCGAGTTGATGGCCGAGTTGATGGCCGAGTTGATGGCCGAGTTGATGGCCGAGTTGATGGCCGAGTTGATGGCCGAGTTGATGGCCGAGTTGATGGCCGAGTTGATGGCCGAGTTGATGGCCGAGTTGATGGCCGAGTTGGTGGCCGAGTTGGTGGCCGAGTTGGTGGCCGAGTTGGTGACTATTTTACGGTTTCTAAGTTTTCGCAGAAGCTCAACACTCAAATCCCCCAGCAAGATCTCATCGTCAGCTACATTTTCCGACCCCACATCGATAGGTTCTGATAAGCGCTTCTCGAGATTTCGAGCAATTTAGGCAGCGGTCAGGGTGCACTACTATTAGAGAGAATAAGGTAATTTTAATCTGAATGGAAAATCTTGGTAAACAAGCCAAACAACTTATGACTAAAGATAAGCAAACAAAAAATACAGCAAATATAAACCAGAATCTTTTTAAAATTTCAGAAAAGTTCTTGCAGAACCAATTTTTTTTTCTGTATTGCCAATCTCCTGAGACCTTTTGAGAAAAATAGACGCTCACTGGCAATCATAAAACAGAGTGTTTTCGATGCGGTATCTCTTATCTCTCGAAATAGACACAGATAACGTCGGATAGCGCTAGTTAGATAGTGTTCTTCTTGCTTAGACAGTGTTCTTCTTGCTTAGATAGTGTTCTTCTTGTTTAGACAGTAAATGTAAATGTTGTTTAGACAGACAGCAGTTTTGAGTAAATGACAAAGAAATGCAAAACTTTTGTTCATCTGCTCTATCAAAATATGCTATTTTGTTACTTATCCGGGCACACGCCACACACGAACAAGGCAACAAATTATCGATTACACGCCCTTAAACACTGATTCTGATAGATTATAGATAATCTATCAGGTAACACTTATTCTGATAGATATTGAAGAGTTTTTTTTTTTGCCTAACTCTACGATCTTAAGCCTTAAGATCTAAGCCTCACACAATGGAAAAGTTAGTGAGAAGCAGCCTAACAGGAATCAAAAAACACAAGTTTATCAATCATAAGTCAAGCAAAAGTCAAGATTTGTATAAGTAACAATTGCACAAGCCAAATGTTTACCGATTAGTTTTGTTTGAAAAGAACACTCTAGTCACAGGAACCAAAAAAACAGTTTGTAAAGCCGAAACATAAAAAAACATTTCAGAAAAACCTTTCAGCTTGCGATTGAGCCTTTTCTGTTCGCTTGATTGTCCTAAATAGAAATAATCAAAGATCAAAATCCTTCTGAACGGTTGCAAGGATCACCCGACCTGTTCACAGCTGGCCGGAAAAAGCGCCCATGCAAAGCGATAAGCGCTTGATTTCTGACATTTCTGATAACATTGAAAAACAGATTTCGAAGAGCTGGTTGCTCAATATTTGATTCCAAGTTATTTTGGGGTTTTGACTAAATCTCCTGATGTCTGAAAAGAAGAGTATCGACGATTTTCTGCTGTTCGGTCGTTATGGCTTGTTGCTTGCGATTTTAATTGAGGTGAGAAAGGCCAAAATTGTTAATAAGCTTAACCGAAATAAAAACTCAAAGTTTTTTTGAGTTTAATGTAAGCTTCTCGGGCTTTGAAACATTAAGTTCTTTTGATTTCAGTTTGTGATGATCGTTGAATGTGGAAATTTGTTGTTTATGACATTTGCAGGTGAGAGAGATGTATAGCAAAAGTTTAAGATCATAATGAGACAGTTAGCTTACTGATTGCTTACTTTGGCTTGCTGTTTGCTTGCTTTGGCTTGCTGCTTGCTTGCTTTGGCTTGCTGTTTGCTTGCTTTGGCTTGCTGCTTACTGCTTGCTTGCTTTGGCTTGCTGTTTGCTTGTTTTGGCTTGCTGCTTGTTTGCTTTGGCTTGCTGAAAATTGTTAACTGTTAAGTGGAAATTTTAAATAAGATATACGTATTCTAAATTCCCAGGTGCTGACGCTGAAATAATCTCTTGTCACAGTGATTCACCTGAAACAAATGTCACTTATTCATCTGATGATTATTGCGCAATGTTCAATCAAGACGATTGTCCTGATTCTAAATTTCATTATGATTTTCGTTCGGTAAACGTTGAGGTAATAATTGGGTTTGTATTTCAGCAAAGAGCAATACAAGTTTAGTGGAAACTCCTCTGCGATAAGAAAGAAAGAGTCAAGGACAGCACGTCATATCAAGTGAGCTTTTTCAGTATAAAAGAAATGTTCAAAAGAAAAGAAAGAAAAGAAAGAAAAGAAAGAAAAGAAAGAAAGGAAAGAAAAGAAAGAAAGAAAGAACTTTTTCAAAAAGTAACTTTGTTAGTTTTTCAATAACTTTCAAAAAGTTTGATGGCAAATGTAAATTTTGGTAAGATGATTCTTAAAGTTAAAGGACTCTCCTAGAAGTTATATAATAATAAAACTTCAATCAAAACTAGATTATTTGTGTTCTAATGAACTTAGTGTTTTAAACTTGAAGAGATTACACTTAAGAGTGTAAAACCATCAGCTTAGTAAAACCTTAGCTCTGTAAAACGTTAGCTCTAATGAACTTAGTGTTTAAAACTTGAAGGGATTACACTTAAGAGTGTAAAACCATCAGCTTAGTAAAACCTCAGCTCTAATGAACTTAGTGTTTTAAACTTGAAGAGATTACACTTAAGAGTGTAAAACCATCAGCTTAATAAAACCATCAGCTTAGTAAAAGTAAAACCACCAACCAACCAATTGCGATTTGATGATTGTGGTCAGATTGATCGTGAGGAAATGCATTTCCTAAAAAAAGCATTTCCTAAAGCATTTTCTAATCAAAAAGTTACCGTATTCCGTCAAAAAATTAATTTTTAATACAAATTGATGAAAAGGTAAATTAGATTTCTTTAAATTATTTAAATATTCAATTGATAATTAATTGAATAGCTTGAAATTTTTCTTATTTTGGGGACACTTTAGGAAACACATTAACTTTACTTGGTTAAAATTACCGTAAATGTTGTAAATTAGAATGACATGTCATTCTATTTTTCAATAACCCCCTAGGGTGTCATTCTATTAGAAAATATCGTTTTATTTTTTTACTCGAATCACCACTACGGATCATTACGGATTTTAGAGTGCTCATCGGAACTCGATCAAAGCGTTGAATCGACGTAAAAAGCTCAAAAAATAAGCTCAAACTCAAAGAAATGACCCGAAAGACTTCAAAAACCTCGTAAACTCTCAAAAGTGTCGTGATCTTTACAAGAACCGAATTATGCTAATGTAGGCATAGTAGGAACAAACATCGCGACTTGATAGAAACAAAAATCGCGACCTGACAGCCCCTAATCAACTTTGAAGCCATATACCGTAAATGCTGTATTAGAATGACATGTCATTCTATTTTTCAATATCCCCTAGGGTATCATTCTATTAGAAAATATCATTTTATTTTTTTACTCAAATGACCAGTACGGCTCACAAAAAGTATCGCTGCTCTGCTCAGGTTTCAGGCTTTCAAACGATTGGCAAACGATTGGCTTTTAAAATTTTGAAATTATTGAAAATCTTCCGATGTGAAATGCTCCAAATAATTCTATTTCTTAATCAACAGCAAAAATGAGTAAATACGAAGCGGGAAATTCTTTAAAATATGTGCAAATCCGGTCAAGCAGCGATTCTGCTGAGAGGTTGGTACCTCAGAACTTCGACGTACTATAAAGGCCTAGGTAAATAGCCAAAAGGGTAAATAGCCACCAAAGGGTAGCCTCGCAGGGCAACGGCAGGGAAACGGTCAAATTTGCATGGCATGACTTATTCTTTGATATTTGCCGTTCAAAAGCTTGTCGGTCTTTTAGTGGGGGCTATTCTGGAGATGCATTATCGCCCCGGCGCCCAGCAAAAAGAAAGGTGGGGTGATTTGGATAATGCAATGTTTGGTGGGTGGTAATACTAACATACCCGGGCGATAATGCATCTGTTTGGTTCCTTTTCTCTGCAATGGAGCGGGGGTACTATAATGCAATACTCCCAAAAAAACTATGAAGTAATATTAAGTAAGTGAGGTGTCATTCTAATACAGCATTTACACATTTACGGTAATTATTTATTCATCAACTCTAATTTAGATGATTGGCGCTTTGCTGGGCTCTGTCATTTGGGGTCGAGCCTCGGATCGTTTCGGTCGTCGCCCAGCCATGCTCGTCACATTGATATTTACCGGTCTCTTCGGCATTGCATCGGCTTTTGCAAATAGCTTGCTAACTTTCACTATTTTACGAACATTTGGCTCGTTTTTTGTGGTCGGTACGGGAATGTGAGTGTCTTTTTGTTATTAGAAAAATGTGCTTTCAGAGTGGCTAACACGTTTTTCGGTGAGTTTTTCCCCTCTCGGTATCGGCAGGGTCTCTCGTTTATCCTCAACTGGTCACCAAATCTTCTTGTTGTCACAGGGATAGGTATGATTTTTAAACTAGAACTAGAACTAGAACTAGAATTAGAACTAGAACTAGAACTAGAGCTAGAACTAGAATTAGAACTAGAGCTAGTACTAGAACTAGAACTAGAGCTAGAACTAGAACTAGAACCTATTTCTTGAATAAATCCCATTTACAATTCAGATCTTTCGGGTTTTCTAGATGCATTGGCTTTGAAAGATTTTAAAACTGTCAAAAAAGAAAAAAAGCTGGTAAAAGCTTATACATAGTCAGTCTCTTACCTCCGACAACTAGCCCTTTCTTTACAGTAGTGGCACTGAGTACATTAGAGCTCTTCATCTTCGGTCTAATTGTCAATAGGCGTCCGACGGAAAAACAAGATTTGACCACATCAACGGTAACTTTTTCAGGATCTCGTGCAACACAAAAATAGAATTTTCGAAGTTCTATCTTTTGGTCTAAAAACTTCTGAAAAATTAGCGGTTAAGTGGCCACCTGTCGACACCAATTGACACCTATTGACACCTATTGACACCTATTGACACCTATTGACACCTATTGACACCTATTGACACCTATTGACAATCAGACCGAAAATGAACAACTCTAGAGTACATATTAAAAGAATAAAGATAGCATTATTATAGTAAACTGTTTGTAAACTTATTAACACGATTTTTATTGATCTAACCGTATTAGCAAAACTTTCAGCATATGTTTCACATTCGTGGAGAGCTTTCGCCATCATCATCAGTGTGGCCACCATACCGGCCAGTCTCATTATGGCCTTTCTAGATGAGACACCGCACTTTTTGTTGAGAAACGGAAAACCCAACGAGTCGATGAAAGTTCTCGAGCGGATACATAACGTATTTTGTCATTAGTGACTCTTAAAATCAAGTTTTTAGATAAACAGACATGAGGTAGATGTTAAAGCACTTGGCGAGGTGTTTCGAGAGAAGAAACAACAGCTTGAGGTTGGCACTTGTGAGTGTTTACAATTCACTTATGTACTAGCTGTATGTACTGGCTGTATGTACTAGCTGTATGTACTAGCTGCATGTACTAGCTGTATTTACTAGCTGTATTTACTAGCTGTATGTACTAGCTGTATGTACTAGCTGTATGTACTAGCTGTATGTACTAGCTGTATGTATTAGCTGCATGTACTAGCAAGATGTTTATCTATTAGCAAGATGTTTATGTATTAACAAAGCTGCTTTTCACTTTGTTACCTTCAGGACACAGAAGCTACGAAATCAAAGACAGAAGCCTACTCTATTTTTCATCTCTTTTGCACCCCTCAACTTATTGCGTATACAGTAGCACTGTGTCTTAGCAAGTAAGCTTTTTTGGATATCAAAACTCAAAAATTAAGCTTTCAAACTGGTTTCATCAGTTTCTCACTGCTTTTCAATTTGGAAAAGGTTTCTGGCTCGTTGTATCAGAATCTAATCATTGTCGGAGTTTTTCGCTACGGGTTTAATCTAGTTTCCGCCTTAGCTGAATATCGATTCAAATGGCTTGGAAGAAAAGTTAAGCTTTCTAAGAAAATCGTAAGTAATCTTGATTCTAGATAAGTCATCACATTTTCTGCGTTATCACCATGATTTTCTTGTTTGCTTCGATGATTGGAGATCTCACAAGTAAGTATTGGGTTGGTGGAAAAGTCCTTTCTGGTTTTGCTTTTGCTAAGATTCTGAAAATGCGTGTCTAGGGGTTATTTTTGACGCTGATCACGAAACACATCGAACTAATTAAAGTTTTATCCAAGTTTTCTCAATATCTGAAACTTCTCACCGATCAAATTTGATCGCAAAACGTACTCTTTTGTAGTCTTTTTCGTACACAAAACGTACGTAACGTACTCTCAAGTTTATTAATGTATTAGGTTGATGCAAAAGTCTTTTTCATTTTTTTCGTACTTCTTTTGAAAAATGACAAAGTCATCAATTAACCTATGGTTTGCTCTAAATGAAAAGTGTTTATTGTTGAATTTCCCATCTTTTTAAGTCAATTTGGGTTCACTTTCAAGCAAATTCGAGAGTGAAAACGGGTTTTTCATAAAAATCTATAAAAACCTCTATAAAGAAATTGGCTGAATCAATTTCTCTGAAAATCTGAAAAAATATCTAACTTTTTGTGCTCTATCTTTTATTTATTAACATCAAGATTGGTTTCCTTAGCTAAAGCGTCTAAAATGCATCATCGAGCCGTCGCCTTTTTTGACTACCCGACTTCAGGCTCTCAAAAAAATCTAGACATAAGACATTTTAAACTCGTTTTAATGTCATTTTGCAGAAAAATAATTGGCCTTTCGAATGCAATAAAACCGTTGTTCAATTGGTGCATTTGTTACTTTTTTAACGGAAGTACGAAAAAATGAAAAAGACTTTTGCATCAACCTAATACACTACTGAACAATGAAATATCATATTTGAAAAAAGATCGTCACTTTCGCGCGTCTGTAACTCCCTTGTCTTTACTGTATTTCTAAATATTAATATTACCATTGTGTAGCCCTTAAAAAGAGCTTTCAGAAAATCTATAACACTAATAGTTTAAACGCAAAGACAAGGAAGTTACAGACGAAGCGAACGTGACGATCTTTTTTCAAATATGATATTTCATTGTCCAGTAGTGTACATTAATAAGAGCGTGCGTGTCTAGGGGTTATTTTTGACGCTGATCACGAAACACATGTTTTTAGCCTAGGTTTCTGCACGGAAAACTAACGAAACGTGAAAACAGCCATTTTTTGGCTCTGCTGCCCTTTACTAAAATAGCTGTAAAAACTTTTAGAAAAGAGATATCTCAAAACGGTTTTTACCAATCGATCCGTCTTGAATTCAGCTTTAGGATGAGCTATGAAACGTCAAAATTCGACAAATTTAAGATGCTCTCCCAAAAAATCGGAAAGGACTTTTCCATCAACCCAATACATACAGGGTGCGTCATAATTATTGCAACAAGATACTCAAGGCATTGCACACCAAGAAGTTTCACTTGAAGAAGATTTTTAAACAGAAATAGCTTTATTTAACAGTAACAAATAAGGAAACAAGAGATCATTCGATATGACCGCCTTTTGCCTTGATAACAGCCCTTAATCGGTTCGGATATGCCTCCACTGCGGCCCGAATGTCATCTTGAGGAGTCGCCTTCCATCCTTTGGTCAAAGACTCAAATGGTCAAAGACTTCTTGAAGGTCAAAGAGCAGACATTAGCCTCTAAGATTGCCCAAATGGAAAAGTCCATCACATTGAGATCCGGTGAGTTTGGAGGCCATTCATCCTTGGTAATCACTGAGGGAAAGTTGGCCACACACCAGTCCTGAACCGTCTTCGTGTGAGCGGGGAGGCAATTAGGCAAGAATAAAGAAGATAGAACGCAACACAACAAAAAAAGGGGCAAAAAAAATAAGAAAGCTGTTTGGAAAACGGTCTTTGAACTCTTGTTGCAATAATTATGACGCACCCTGTAGAAGAAAATTTGTTTTTCTTTTTTGAACTAACTCTGAAACAGTTAAGGTTTGGAGTTTGGAACAAAGAGAGTTTTTTTGCACTAACTCTGAAATAATTAAAATAAAAGCTTATAATATTTTAGATGCTCCAAGTTTATTTTCCCGAATCTTTCTTCTAACTACAGCCGCCATCGTTGTGCAGCTCTTTGCCGTGCTTGGCATCATTTGTAATGAGGTTTGAATTGAGTGGATAAAGAATTACGATTATGATAATAATTCAAGGGTTTATTATGCATTTCATAATTGGTTTTAGGTACAATTTTCTAAACTAATCATACCTAGTAAGCCATTGAGCCATTGAGCAGCCATTGAGCAGCCATTGAGCCATTGAGAAGCCATTGAGCCATTGAGCAGCCATTGAGCCATTGAGCAGCCATTGAGCCATTGAGCAGTTCTTGAGCAGATCCATTTAATGTAGTTTGGGTTGAGGGTTACATTTCTGCAGACAAACCAGTTAACGTAATTACGGGGTGCGTCATCATTATGGGCCTTTTTTTAGAGATGGTCAAACCAGATTTAGATTTTAGAGTGCTCATCGGAACTCGATCAAAGCGTTGCATCGACGCGGGCTTTTGACACGTGCAATTTCTCAAAATTTGGGATTTTGACAAGAAGATTAAACGCTTCAAGGAATTGGGAAAAAATGCTGATAGAGCTGGTCGAGGAAAACGGTGTTCTGTAGTGATTCAGTCCAACATCAAAAAAGTGCGAGAGAGATTGCGTTGTAACCCGAAGCGATCAGTCGGCCAAATGGGAATTCCTAAGCCTAGAAGTTAAGGAGTTGTAACCACATCGAACAGTTGACTGTTCGATGTTGAACAGTTGAAAGAAAGCGCTCCTTAAACCATAGGACGATGTTGTCTACTTGCGTGCCACAGTTGCCGTTGACGTTGACAGTTGACGCCTTCCGGTCATGTCTTGAAGCTGACGTCACGTCACAGCGGAGACGCTGACGAAGGAGTTTTTGAAATTTGAGTTTTACACTTGTTAACATATAAATAAAGATTGTTAGAAAAACTTTGTCATCTTTGGGTGACTTGTTTTTCGATATCTTTGGGTGACTTGATTAGTACCGACTGATTTATCTGAGCCCATAATTATGATGCATCCTGTATTCTAATAAGATCTTTTATAAGATCGAATAAGATCCGGATCTTTTATTTTTCGACCGCTCTCGAAAGGGATTTTCTATTCGAGAGGTCCTTTGATTTTTCAACTATTTTAGACAGTATTTTAAAGAACATGAGAAAATCTACATGGTGCGGTATCAAGCTACATGGTGCGGCATTACCCGAACTCGTACTTTAGAGTCTCATCCGGTGCGCAATGGGTTAAATTGTCTAATTCTTTATGCTAATACAATTTGATAGTTTTAACATAGAGAGAAACTTGTTAACAGAAACTTATTCGATAGCATTCGATAAAAACATTAGAAAGTTTTCCAAGTTTTGTCAGCCAAAGCTTCCAGCCGAATGGTTAGCTTTTTAGCAAGCATTCGGCTGTTTAACTAGCCTGTTTGCTGTTTAATAGCCAAGCAAGCCTGTTGTGTTTTTCCAAGTAAGCCTGTTTTTTCAATTTAGATCTTTCCAACGGCCCTTCGAAAATACCTCGTATGCCTTCACGCAGTTCGTTCAAAGTATCGCTCCGATTCTCGCCCCGCATCTCTATTCAGTGGTGGGGCCCTAATGCGATTAATTAATCTTTATTTTATTTAGCTTATAAGCTTATAAGCTAAATATTTTATTTAGTCAAAAAGATCTCTTTCAAACATCTCTTTTAGTCAGGAAGCCACAAATGGCTTCCACCTGTAATCATGCTCGCGTGGGTCTTTGCCGATATCATCGTTTTTGCTTTTGCTATTCCTGAATCTCGAGGAAAACCCCTT